GGCTGCCTGCCGGGTTAAACCATGACAGAAACAACTCAGAATTGCTGCTTCCTTTCATACCTCAAGAGTCAGTATCTGACTCATTCTTTGTTAATAGTTAAATCCCAGATATATGTGGAAAGAATAACATTCTCAGTGCCTTTTTACCTTCTTTGGGGAGGTGAGCAGAAACAGGCCAAGTGGCACACAGCTGGACATAGGCCCTGGACTTTTTTCCAGGACACCTTCCAGGTAGGTGAAATGCCCTGGTCTTTCCTCCAGAGACCCCAGGGGCAGCAGCACACTCAGGGCAAGCCAGTACAAGAGCAGGCTTGCTCTAGCTCCTCCTCCAGGCTCCCGGCCAGGTGCCCGTGCTCTTTTCCTCCAGGTCTCTGCACCCCCATCCCCTCGGGGGCTGATTCCTCCCTTATGCCTTTGGTTACGTCTCTGCAGGGATCCTGACACTTTAAAGAGTCAAGGACAAGGGGCTCAGCCTGGGCACCTCACCTCACACAGCCCTTCATGTTCTTGCCTCAAGGTCATGTACAATTTACTTCTCTACAATTCTACTAGAAAGCTTTTCCAAACACTATTGTGAAGGCTGTGGCTCATCTCTGGTCAGTCTCAATGAAAGCCCTGGATGGTTTCTTCTCCATGGCTTCTTTTAACACCTTCTTCTCTGCTGCTCACTCTCTTAGACTCTAAGACACACAAGTCAGACTGTACCTCAGCCCTCTTTCCTCAACCAACAGAGGCCATTTTTTCTCATTTTCCCCTCAGCTTTGGCTCCCCGTTCAGAGATAATCATACAAGCTCTTCTCTCCACCTCTCTTCCTGAAATGGTTACAGCTGGATGTCAATGCCACAGCTGAAGATACAGGCCCTACTGTACAACTGGCTCTATGTTGCCCTGCTTGAGCAGCAGTGTTGAACCAGATGACCTCCAGAGTTCCCTTCCAGCCTCAACCATTATGGGAAAATCAGGAGCCTGTAAGGCATGGCTTATCTAACCAGGTTCAGCTTCTGGTTTTGGAAGAGAAGGTGCTCCTTGCCCTCTATTCACTTTAAAGGAAGCTGAGGCTATCAGATCAATACAGACCTCACCATTTGGCCAGATCAGTCTGACCGTACATTTTATTCTGCCTGAAATCCTGCTAGAACAAAGATATGTGTGTCACGACACATTATTCAGCTAGCTCAGGGGAGCTTGGCACTGAGTTCTTCCTCTCTTGAGCACTTCTGATCAATGCAGCTTTCCACTACAGGACCCACAGTGCATCAAGGCCATAAATCCACACTCAGGTTACTCAAGAGAAATCTTCACAACTGTCTCAGATCCCTAGTCCGCTGAGCTTCTGCTCTTGTCAAGACCTGGCATCCCCAACATAAAGAAAGAAGGGAAAGCCTGAGCAACCAGTGGAACCTCTTCCTTCTTCTCCCACCTCCTCCCAGTCTCCCAGTTCAAGGCAGTGTTTGAGTTGCTGTTTCTAAACTGGACTTATGCCCACAGACATCTCTGCCAATGCACAGGACTAGTTTAAACATCACCCATTAAACAGTAACCAGTACAGGGCAAAGTAAGCGCACACGGTGGTGAGAGTGCCTAGTAGGGATTCTCCAAGGGTAAAACCCCAGACGGGCATTTCTACCATTTCTTAGAGGTGGAGCTCATATCTCTGTATGTGTACAAGTGCCATTAATACTTGAAACTCTTAACTTCTGACAGGAGATTGCATTCTCTGCCTGAATTTTCCTGTTCTCAGCTAAGCCTTTGCTGAAAGACAATGGATTGGGTCAATCTTGTTCCTGTAGGGTTACTGTTTATACTCATTCTCCTGCTGATTCTGAAAAGACAACATATCTGGAAGAGGCATGCAAGAGAAAACTTCCCTCCAGGACCCAGACCTTTACCCATTATTGGAAATCTGCACATCATGGATCTGAAGAGACCTTACCTGACAATGATAGAGGTAACTTCTCTTGTTCCTTTTCTTAGAGCTCTCTAAGGCAGTCAGTGACCCCCCCAAAAGGGGTACAAATTTTGCTCTGGACAGGTAGATACAAATGCAGCAGAATTAATTATCTGCAGTAACTGCTCTTCCTATCACATGATCTTGTGTCAGTGCAGGGGAATTGACTTCCAGCCACATCAAGAGAATCGACCTATTTCTGTGGAACACAGGAAATGCTGGGGTTCTCCAGACAAGGGTAACTAGAAGAGATGGGCCCTACAGTTCCTACAGGAACTTCCACCAGGGGCTGCTAAAACATTTGGGGAGGAGACCAGAACTTTCTGGAGGCTGTTTGGTGGACTCAGCCATCAGGGAACTGGCAGAAAACAGCTTCTTGATCCCCTCCCTTCATCCTCACCATGAAGGAGGAACTTTTCTGGTTTCCCAAAGCAAAGTAGGAAACAAATAAACACTGCTTATTCTTTCATATCTGGTGGCAGTAAACCCCAGGACTTCAGGGAAGATGGTGTGTGACAGTCAGATAATGGTTTGGTTTGTGGGGTCCTCTCACCGCACTACTCCTCAAAGCCATGAACAGCAAACCTAAGAGTTTCAGACAGTTCCTGTGCCCTGATGTACTACCAACTTGAAAACTGGTCTCCCTTCTGGGTTGGGGAACATTCCCAACATATCCTTTATGAGTTCTTAGTTTCTCAATCAAAAGTTACTTACAGAGTCCATGTAGTGGACACAGTTACCTCATAACTCAAAATGAAGCCATTCTTAACTTGCTTTCCTGGATTTCATTCCCATGTGAGCCATGCAGTCTACTCCTGCCTGATTGTGGCTGCACCTTGTCACTAAAGGCAGTAACTCCAGATGCATCTAAAGGCATAATTCCAGACTATTTAAGAGCTGTTACTCATGATTCCAGCTGATTTGTACCTCCCCAGATTTGTATACCAGGAACTGCACAGGTTTTGCCACGATTACTGAGAAATTCACTTTCCGTTTGTCTCTTCAAAGGAACACAGGGCCAAGCCTGTCTGCTCTTCAGCCTTTCCTTTAGCCCCTCTAAGAGTCTGTTACTCAAATACCCCACAGAGGATTCCAGACCTCATTGTGATTCTTTTTCTTTAAAAGAGCTCTAACATTTGTATGACAAATTCTCCACATTTTGGACAGTGAATGAAAAGCCAATGCCATGCAGGAAAGAGAACATTAAACCTGCTGAAAATCAAGTATTTTGAGTTTGCTGAAAATCATCTGAAAATCATCTTCTTTTGTTGTCCCCTTTCATCCCACTAGCTATCCAAAAGGTATGGCCCAGTCTTCAGCATTCAGATGGGACTAAGGAAAACGGTGGTGCTCTCAGGATATGACACAGTGAAGGAAGCTCTGGTGAACCAGGCAGATGCATTTGCAGGGAGACCTAAAATACCAGTTGTTGAAGAAACAGGAAAAGGAAAAGGTGAGCGTGCTGTTCTGTTCCCCATACACCTGCCTTCTGCAAAGAAGAAGGAGACTTCTCCATGGAGAGGAGAATGCAGAACGTCTCACTTTGTTTTGCTAAGCATGTGAAGCAATGGAAATGAGGGGGAAATTGAACAATGTGTGGTGATATTTATCGGGGATAAGGGGAGATGATACTCTTAATTTACACATAAACACATAATTTACAGGTCTGAATCTGCAGCCGAGTTTTCCCTTAGAGGTGACATGTTGAGGAGCTGACATGGGAGCATCTCCTGATCTCTTCTCACAAAGGCCACCTCTGCAGCCACCCAGCTACCAAAACCTTGTCACATAAACCCAGTACAAACTGGCAGAGAAGTGTCTCCTACATCAGCAGCACTATCTCCAAATAATTCTTGTGATATTGATATTATTGAATGCTTATTTTAAATTTTGCAGTTCAATTTACATTTGAAAATAAATCTCTCTTAAAGAGAGAATAAACAATAACCCAAGCCTTTATTTTGCTTCTAAGGAAGCTCACTTTTGCTCTGAGTTCTTCTGGTGGAGATTTCACCCTCCACAGGTGCTAGACCCTGAATTTCATGTTTCGATTCCCATAAATATTGATGGGATACATGGAGGTAGGGACATGAGAGATTGTTGTCTTCTGACAGGAAAGCAAGGGTGAGCACATTTGTACCTTGTGACCAGCTCTGAGTAATGTATTGTTAAATGCCAACCTATTTGCAAATGTTTTCTTTCCTCACTAGGGACAGTTTCTTGAACAAGACTTTAAGCAAGAATAAGAGAGCATGACAGGTGCAAGGAGAGTAAATAGCAGCACCAGCTTGACCGAAACGTCTCTGCAGATGCCACTGAGAATTCTCTGCAGCTTTTCTAGTATGTAGGGGGTTGGGATTATCCCCACCAAGTGGGGAGATTTTCCAAACAGATGCCTGCATTTGAGGTTTCGTTTACTCTCTACAGTCTGCATAAGAACACTAGCACCCTTGAGAGAGGATACATCTCACCTAAGGGAGACATCTAAGGTTAATGAGCACACTCACCATCCTAGGTGATGTTCCAGAGGCACAAAACCAACTCTCTGTTCTAAATTCTAAACAAAGCTGAACAAAAGCCCTCATGTCTCAGGGCACATCAGGCACCTCACGAACTCAGAATGGTGGCTGTTTCCCTCAGAGCTTTCTCCTGACATATCTTTCCTGTCTTATTTCATTCTACGTGGGGACACAACATGTCTTGAGGGTTTGACAGGTTTCCTGCCAGCACTCATCTCTATCAAGACTGAGGGTAGATGAGGAATCTTTGCTCTCGTGATGAAATTTCTATTTCTGTGTTTTCATTTTCCATTTCAGGAGTTATATTTTCTGATGGAGAAAACTGGAAAGTGATGCGAAGATTTACTCTTACAACCTTACGAGACTTTGGAATGGGCAAGAAGGCCATAGAGGATCGTGTTGTAGAAGAGTATGGATACCTGGCAGACACCATTGAGGCACAGAAAGGTGGGGGGAATCTTACCTTCATAACACACTGATTTTCCTCAAGCCTCCTACAGAAATGTTAAGGGTCGAGGAAGAAGAGTCTCTGAACTCTTTCAGAGGTCTACCTTTCTCCAGCATCCATGCTCCAAGGAGTTTATACAAGCTGTCTGTCTCTCTACCTGGCAATTGCCTGACATGCAAATGAAAAGCATTGATTGAGGCATTGGAAGTCAAACATGGAGTCAAACATCAAACAGCACATCTGAGAAGAGTAATTTATTCCTCCATGTGCAGCCCCTTTGATTGATTTAGGGGCACTGGGAGAGCAGAAGGCCATTGCAAGGGCTTGCATACCTATACTAAAATATTGATTGTCCCTAAAGTCACATGTCTGGGAAGCCCCTTCCAATAGGAGGCAGAACATCCAGTTAGACATTTCACCAGCATCATCTAAGATTATTTCTCACTAGGCTCAGTTACCAACAGCAGGACTTCATCCGACCAAGCAGACTTGGGATAAAAACAGATTTCTACCTCATCGTTCTAGTTCAGGCTTCAAGTCCTCACCTTGAGCCCCTGAAAGCAGGAGCTGTATCCAGCCGCAAAGGAACTGCACCAGAGGGATCTAGAAGCTGTAAAGTGCGAGCCCCAGCAGGAAAGATTGAATGACCATGAGCTGCTGAGTTAGGAGATTGGACCTAAAGGGCCTGAAAGGACACAGTCCAAAATATAGTGGTGATAAGGGACAGCCCAGGACAGCACCGGTGGGGGAAATGGCAATTCCCTTATACCAGGAAACTTTAAGATCATGTATGCCCAAACAAAGCAGCCTGGGGAAGGGCCACAAAGACCCAGGGCCACAATAGTCTTGGAGAAAATGGAGGGGAGCAAAAAAGACTTGCATTCAGTCCCTGGTCTGTCAAAATGCTGTTAGGGTCATGTGAATCCTGAGATGAGGGAGCCTTTCCTCCTGCCAGCTCTGTGCCTATCATGTCCCAGACTTCACTGAGCCTCTGCATGCCACTTTAATTAGAGTAACTATTGACTTTATTGTTTGCACCACCTTTTCCCATGCTAGGGAAGCCCCTTGAGATGACTCTGATGATGAACGCCGCTGTTGCTAATGTCATCGTATCCATATTGCTTGGAAAGCGATATGACTATGAAGACCCCACATTCAAAAGGCTCCTGTCAATGGTGAACGAAAATCTCAGGGTTTTTGGAACTCCATCAGTTTCGGTAATTCATACTGTTTGAATATTGCTCTTCAAAAGCATGATTATGCAGTGGTATACAGAGGTACACCTCTCCAACGCTGATCATTGCAACAATTCTATCTGTACATGCCTGAAATGGCAGAAACTGGACCTCTCATGCTATTTATGGGTTTCTCTTAGCAGCATAGCCTGGGAAATGATAAATTCATCCTTTCATGAAGAATTGAACAACATGTAATATGATACAAGGATTGTGTCCCCTAGCAATAGTTGTTGGTCATTATTCCCCATCTCCCATTACAAGCAACAAGGTCAAAATCAGTGTGGGAATGCCTGTAACTGTCTCTTCAGCTTGAGACTCCCAATTTCAACCAGTGTGGAGAGGGAGGGATGAATTCTCTAGGAGTGGAGAGGTAGGAAATAGTGTCAAAGACATATGCAAAAACATGGGATTTCTAGGCCATCATTAACTAGTGTCATTAATACTCAGTGTAAGAGGGAATAAATTTTAACCATTTTACACAGTTGGCCAGGGAAAAAGGAGGACGAAGGAACATATTGCATCTTGAGTATAAGACTATACACCATTTCGTGTAAGGGCTTTTCTTAATATACGCTGTTGAACTGTGATACATCTGCTTAGGATCTGTTTTTTCTTCCTCGCTATCTCTGCATCTTGCAGATGTACAACACGTTCCCAGTCCTTGGATTCCTCCTGAAGAACCACAAAATTTATATTCAGAATGTAAAAGAAATCAATGCTTTTATCAAGGTGACTTTCATAGAACATCTCAAAGCCCTGGATAGAAACGACCAGAGGAGCTTCATTGACACTTTCCTTGTGAGACAACAAGAGGTAATTGAATCCTAGCAGCTTCTTCAAATATCCTCACTCTTCTTTCAAGGCTTGGTAGATAAACAAATGTTCTTCAAGAGAGATACAGCATGTGCAAAAGTCCTATCAAAAACTGCGGTCAGACTAGAAGACTGTGCAGTCATTTCAGCTAGGAGACAAATTGATCACGAGCAAGCATCTTTATGTGTCCCCAGTAATTTATCAGGAAAATACAAAACACGATTTCAGCAAGCAAAGTATGAGCAGATGTTAGTTTAAAATCCCTTTCTGCACCCCAGCATTTCTGACTCTTAAATTCATAGAGACATACCCAGGGAAAGCTCTAGGCCCGGGACTCTTTGGCACATATTTCTCGGTTTCAGTTGCCAGCAAACACAAGATTTCTTTTACCTGCTTCAACAAAACTCTAGTTTCACAGTTCTGTAAAATATGGCAGTGTTTGTACCCAGCCCTCACCTTTATGTGGTCTGGACTCATGAGTTTTAAGCCCAAGTCTGCTATAGCAAAAGCATGGGTTGGCTGCTGGATTACAGGGGAACATGAACCACCTTTCTAGGCTCTCTTCTGGTGCTAGTGGCAGGTAAAAGCAATACCATCATGGGCCGAGTCCCCAGTACTCTTGAGTTCATGCCAAAACCCAGCTCTGACAGCACATTTATTCTTCTTCCCAACAAATCTTACCCTGCAAGATGCCCTGCTCCATGACCCATGGGCAGAAAAAATCTGAAGCAAATGATTGAATCACATGGGTGGCCCCAGCGACTGCTTGCTCTTTTCCAAAACATTCTTGTCATCACTGACATGATCCAAGCTGAAGACCCTTGTTGACTTGAGTGCGTGTTGTTGTGGGCAGCACAGGCAGTCCGAACACTCTATCTCAAGACTCAGCTTAGAACAGGTTTCTCAAGGCATCCCCTCAAAACCTTCTTATCCTTTACACTTAACTCCTCCCTGAGGGCTGCATATGAAAGCTTTTCCCTGTTCTCCAATAAAAAAGTGCCTTCTTGAATCTTTAATCAGCTGATATTACTACTGTTTCCTATCTCCAGGAGAATGGAAAGACCAATGGATATTTCCATAATGAAAACTTAACTGAGGTTGTGAGAAATCTGTTTGTAGCTGGCATGGAGACCACATCCACCACTTTGCGTTGGGGCCTTCTGCTCATGATGAAATATCCTGAAATTCAGAGTAAGTGGAAACCAGGCAATCAGCTGCTTCCTTCTCATCAGGTCACCTCAAATGTGACTTCACATTGAGCATTGAACAAAAAGTGAATTCTCCACATCCCCCTATTCCTAGCAGGAGCAAGAGACATTCAAGTAATCTATGTACGGTCCCTATTCCTTTCGCAGAAAAAGTCCAAGAAGAGATAGAGCAAGTGATAGGGTCAAACCCCCCACGAATCGAGCATCGAACCCAAATGCCATATACGGATGCTGTTGTCCATGAAATTCAAAGGTTTGCTAGTATCCTGCCATTGAACTTGCCTCATGAGACTACTGCAGACGTGACCCTCAAAGGCTATTTCATTCCCAAGGTGAGACAACTTCTGCGCTACTTTTCTTCTCTCTGACCCCAGTGTAACACATCTCCCTTTCAAGTCCTGCTTGCGTCCAAAGATGCTTGCTCACACTGGGGTTCTCACAGCTACTTTGACAGGATCTCCCCTATTAAAGTGGGTGTTTTCAGCTCCAACACTTGCCATCACTCTGGTAGTGACAGCACCACCATCCTCAGTGCAATAACTGCTCTGCCTTGGCTTGCAGGGAACCTACATTGTCCCCTTACTGGCCTCTGTCCTGCGAGACAAATCCCAGTGGGAGAAACCAGACATCTTCTACCCTGAGCATTTTCTCGACTCTGAGGGGAAGTTTGTAAAGAAAGACGCTTTCATGCCTTTTTCAGCAGGTATCTTTCAGTTTGTTTTTAGGGCTTTGAGGGGAACTGGACATCTAAGATTCCTTTCCCATTGGAGCTGGCCTCTCAGACTCTTCCCAGAGGTCTCCTCTCCTCTCCTCTCCTCTCCTCTCCTCTCCTCTCCTCTCCTCTCCTCTCCTCTCCTCTCCTCTCCTCTCCTCTCCTCTCCTCTCCTCTCCTCTCCTCTCCTCTCCTCTCCTCTCCTCTCCTCCCAGCGCTCTCCTCTCCTCTCCTCTCCTCTCCTCTCCTCTCCTCTCCTCTGACAACAGCTCAAGAAGCAGCTCCCACTGACTTTCTTATGGCCATTCTGCATTTTGTTCCAGGGCGGAGGACCTGTGCTGGAGAGACTCTTGCCAAAATGGAGCTTTTCCTCTTCTTCACCAGCCTCCTGCAGAGGTTCACCTTCCGCCCTCCCCCTGGAGTTTCCATCTCAGACCTGGACCTCTCTCCCTCCATCGGGATCACTGCCCCCCCCGTGACTCATGAGGTCTGCGCAGTGCCACGTTCCTAGGGCTTTTCTTAGTCATCTCCTTTTCCTGAAACACCCAGATGAAATATCTGTGTCTCTAGTCCCACGTGGGAAGTTTGGTACTTCTGAATCCAGTAGGGGATTCAGGAGCCAAGCGCACCTTGGCTCACAGCTGGAGGTGTCTCTCCCAC